TGCGCTTGCAAGGCAGGCCACCGAACCGCTGAGATAAATCCCTGGCTGTGATCTTGATGATCCTCTGTATTCTGTTTGCCAGTATCTTACTGAGGATTTTTGCATCTGTGTTCATTAAGGAGATTGGCCTGTAGTTCTCTTTTTCGGTTAGGTCTTTCTCTGGTTTGGGAATCAAAGTAACACTTGCTTTCAGGAATGAATTTGAAAGTATTGCTTCCCTTTCAATTTCATTGAAAAGTTTAAGGAGTAGTGACAGTAGTTCTTCTCTAAATGTCTTGTAGAATTCAGCAGTGAATCCATCACGACCTGGGCTTTTCTTTGTTGGTAAATTTTTAATTACATTTTCAATTTCACTCATTGTTAATGGGGTGCTTAGAATTTTTATATTTTCTTCATTCAACTTTGGTAATTCATAAATATCAAGAAATCTGTCCATTTCTTCTGTGTTTTTCATTTTCTTAGAGTACAAGTTCTTGAAGTAGGTATGGATGATCCTCTGGATTTCTGCTGGATATGTTGTAACTTCACCTTGTTCGATCCTAATTACATGGCTCTGAGCCTTTTCTTTCCTTTTTTGACAAGGTTGGCTAAGGGTTTATAGATTATATTTATTCTTCCAAAAACCTAACTCTTTGATTCATTGATTTTTTTGTATCATTCTCTTGTTCTGCTCTGATCTTTATAATTTGTTCCCTTGTATGAACTTTGGGTTTTTCATGTTCTTCTTTTTCTAGGAGCCTAAGATTCATGATTAGGTTATTTATTTGAACTTGCTGTTTTCCTAGTGTGGGCATTCCTTGCTATGATTTTTCCATATAGAACTGCTTTCATTGTGCCTCGCAGATTCCTCTATGTTGTACTGGCATTATCATTTATTTGTACAAAACTGACTAATTTCTTCTTTAATTTCCTCTGTGACCCACTGATTGTTCAGGAGAGCACATTTCAATTTCCATGTGTTTGTGAAGTTTTTACAGCTTCTTATGCTAGTGATCTCCAGCTTAATTGCACTGTGGTCTGATAATATACATAGGATAACTTTCATTCCTTTGTATTCATTTAAAGCTGTTTTATGAGCTAGTATGTGGTCTATTTTGGAGGATGATCCATGTGCAGCTGAAAAGAAATGTATATTCTGATTTTGTGGAGTAGAATACAGTAGACATCTATGAAGTCCATTTATTCAATTGAACTTGGTTTACTTCTGTTATTTTGTTGCTGATTTTTTGTCCAGATGATATATTTGTGATAGTGGGATATTGAGGTCCCCCACTAGAATTACCTTAGTGCTTATTTGGTATTTCATGTCCCTTAATATTTGTTTTATATAGTTCAGGGCATTTATATTTGGTGCATATACATTTATGACTATCATCTCCTCCTCTTGGATTGTTCCCTTTAAAAGGATGCAGTGACCTTCTCTGTCTCTCTTAATCAGTTTTGGTTTGAACTTTACTTTGTCTGCAAATAAGATAGCTACCCCTGCTTTTTTGAGGGCTCCTGTTGAATGGAGAACAGTCTTCCATCCTTTCACTTTCAGCCTATGAGTTTCTTTTTTCACTAGGTGTGTTTCTTGTATACAACGTATTGTTGAATTTTGCTTCTTAATCTGTTTTGCCAGTCTATTTCTTTTGAATGGTGAATTGAGGCCATTGACATTGATGTTTATAACTGGTATGTATCGACTTACTATTGTCATGCTATTGTCCTTTTGTTGGCTCTTTTTAATTTTTCCCCCTCTCCCTTTAGTTTCTTGCCTTTCTTACTTGATTTGCTCTCTTGGGCCTCATGATTCTTTTAATTCTTTTGGGCAGATACCCAGCAGGGAATTAGCGGGGTCAAATGGGACTTCTAATACTGTTGTTTGTGGTATCTTCATATTGATTTCCCTAGTGGTTGCACCAGTCTGCACTCCCACCAACAATGAAGAAGGGTTAGAAAACATAAGATTTTCATTTAAATAAATCTTGATTTTTTTCATTAAATTTAATATTTGGAATACTACAGAGCCCTATGATACTATAACTGCCATTTAATTCAAAATTTATCACAAAAATATATTTTAATAATTGGATTAAAAATTATTAAAATAAGCAAAACTAAAACCAAGAGTTTGTAACAACATGAAAATATTCCAGAAGGATTGCCTTTATTTTGCTAGCAAAGGTGGAATTGTTTGCTTAAAAAAAATCAATAATGGTACATTGTTTAAGAAAACTTTTTGCAAGGATTGTTTGTTGGAAAATTCCTGCTGAAGTTAAACAATTTTGGTTTTCTTCTGGTACCTGAGATCTGAAAAGGCAGAAAGAAGATTCAAATGGAGAGTATACTAGGCTACTCAGCAACTAACCACTTTAGACATTTTGACTAAGATGCTTGATGAAATCCTGATGAAATTCCAGTAAATAATTTAATAAAATTTGTATTTGACTATGTTTTCCGTGTCAGATTTAAGAATTCATTATATGTATATGAATATCCAAATTTTCTGGAAGTAAAAAGGTAATTTGTTAATAAAAACAACAAATATATTATGTCATTTAAAAATTGCTCTATGTAAAATAACAAGAGAAATGCACTTAAAAATTCCTGTCTTCGGTTTTAACAGGCTGTAATAAGCATATCTTACTATCATTAAAGAGCTGTTAAATATATTATTAACATTCACAATATTGATTAAGAAAAAAACTTCTATATTGAAATTAACATAAAATTCTATTAAGTAGTATTTTTATTTTGTTTTCTTTAATTAAATCTAAGAATTCAACAAGGTTGATCATCAAATGTAAAACAGGATAAAATGTGAATACTGAAGCATTAATACTGAAGATTTAAATCTGTCTTAATAAAAAAATTTAGATATCAAAATACTAGATGATTTATATCTGTACTACAGCAAGACATTGTTGTACTTACCAGAGGTACTGGCATACTCTAAATGGTCACCATGAGCAAAGATTTAAAAAAATAAAAAAATGAAGTCCATCTTTTTTTTATAGGTGTAATATGAAATTTTTAAAAGTAGTATTAAATTATGAAAAATGAAAGTAAAATGAAAGAAAAATGAGTGTAAATTTTAATCTTTGAATATCAAGTTTAATTCCTTACCCTTTGGTTGACTTGGAAGGTTTACATCCACATGCATGGTTTTCTAAAAGTGCATCTTCTTTCATTGTGGCACTAGGAAAAGCTCTGGTTTGTGGATTGTGCTATAGCAGTGGGGCAAGACATTTGCCCACCATCATGTTGGACTGATATTATGCTTTGTATTATGCCTATCTAACATTATTTTTTCTAAAATATTTTGTTATTCTTTCAATTTATTTTTGTCCCGTAGTTCCAAAAGGACTACTTTTTTTTTTTTTTTTTTTTTT